AGCAGTGAGTAACATTAGAGGAAGCCCGAGTAATATACATCAACGTTAGTTTTAACGTTTTTTAACGTTTCTCTTTGTAGTCTCGTCATGCGATAAGAGTGTYCCACTTGGTATGGAAAGCAAAGCYATTCCTGATAGTAAGATCACTGCCTCGTCAGCATGGCCGGGATATGAAGCAAGATATGCAAGGTTGAACATTGCRGGTGGCTGGGGTCCAAAGMAAGASAGCGAYRRMGAATGGCTCCAAGTTGACCTCAGTAATGCGCACTTGGTAACAGGCATAGCAACACAAGGATCAGGWAAMTCAAMCCAATGGATGACAAGTTATACTATTCAATACAGCGTGGATGGTAGCAGTTTTACCGATTATCAGTCAGGCAAAGTCATGACGGGAAACAACGATAGWAATACTGTGGTAAAGCATGATTTCAAGACCCCCCTTGTTGCCCGGTATATTCGAGTCAATCCTAAAGGTTGGTACAGTTGGGCGGTCGCCCGATTGGAGCTTTACGGATGCAAAAAAGGTTAGTTGTTCCTCACTTTCCTTCTGTCCTAATAACTTCAAGCAAACTTCTACGTGTTGCAATGGAAGTTTCCCAAGCGTTTTGTACATCGTACAGAATGCAGTACAGAATTGTCGCATTGTTTGTTTTATTCAAATTTTACTTTTTTTCAGCGTGACGTGCAACATGGAAAATCGCACTATGGCAGGCAATAACAGAGTAAATAGATTAATGCCATTGTAACGCATCATAAAACTAAATATCCTGGTTACTACACTGAATAAAATGGGACTAGTATAACAAAATTGTGTTGGGTAAATCCATGGAAAGTAATCGTCAATTATAGTGCGCGCGAGCGGAACGCCTCGCGATATCCAGGAGTCCGAATTTGTCGAGATTTGACCTGTTAGSTCAGCAACTAAAAAGCTGCTTCCTCAGTGGCGTGCACAGGGAAAGATTAAAGGTGTGTGGGAACACTCGTTTTTTGAAACATGAGACTTTCTTTGTTAAATCAGTAGAGTATAGAACACATTAGCGGATAGTCCAACAGTTCATTTGGCGCTATTTTGAAAGAATAYTCCTGGAATTTTGCAGACCATCTGCTTCTTCTCACWGTTTTTAAACCGTAAGYCGAATAGTCCRTGGACTCCCCCTCCCCAGTCTCTTCATGAAAGCYCGTGCACGCCCTTGATAACGGTGTCAATTGTAGAACATGCATGAACTCATCAAAACTGATCGGGCGGGATTGGATGACAGATGAAAGGGAGATGTGCGGGAGTTAACTTGTCCGATCCCGCTCAAGCTGAACTAACTTTATATCGGCAAAAAMCGATTAATTCTCGCGGTACACTATTTTGCATTTAATCTTTACTTCTTTCAAATATTGACTTGTCCAATTTGATGATTACAACTTAATGATTTAAGTTACGGTCTTAAGACCAGCAGCTTTACTTGGTCGTGTGTGACTTTTCGTCGTCGAGTAACCATTGAAGGAAGATCAGCTCTGCTGTATCATGAAAGCTATCGTTGTTTTTGCGTTTTTGATAATGGCTGTTGCAGGAATGGAACCAAGTAAGTCGACTGTAAGATGACCAGTATATTTTCAAACGACTCATGYCGAGCTTCCAAAGGCTCATGATTTTTTCAATCGGACAGATTGCAGAGATATCTTCTCCGCAAAGAGTTGCTGYATCGCAAAAGGAAGGAACGAGTGCGCAAAGAACTCGACAATCAGCCGCGTGTACTGCCAGTTGACCTGCAACACTTGTTCAAGCAGTGAGTAACATTAGAGGAAGCCCGATTAAAATGCAAGTCAACGTTAGTTTTAACGTTTCTTTTTGTAGTCTCGTCATGCGATAAGAGTGTCCCACTTGGTATGGAAAGCAAAGCCATTCCTGATAGCAAGATCACTGCCTCGTCGGCATGGGCGTGGTATGATGCAAGGTTTGCAAGACTGAATGGYTACGCAGGTGGTGGCTGGGGACCAAAGAAAAACAGCGACAAAGAATGGCTCCAAGTTGACCTCAGTGATGCGCACGTGGTAACAGGCATAGCAACACAAGGATCAGCTCAATCATCTCAATGGACGACAAGTTATACTATACAGTACACCTTGGATGGTAGCATGTTTATCGATTATCAATCAGGCMAAGTCATGACGGGAAACAAGGATCCAATCACGGTGGTGAAGCACGATTTAAGGCAATTTGTTGCTCGGTATATTCGACTCATTCCTAAAAGTTGGCACAGTTGGGTGGTCATCCGAATGGAGCTTTACGGATGCAAAAAAGGTTAGTTGTTTGTCAATTTCTTTCTRTCCTRTGATAACTTCAAGCAAACTTCTATGTGTTCATGGAAGTTTTCCCAAGCGTTTTGTACATCAAGCAGAATTGTCATATCGATCTTATTCAAATTTTATGGCTTTTTCCAGCGTGACGTGCAAGATGAAAAAGAGTAAAGYATGGCAAACAGTAACAGATTAAATAATGAATATCATTGTAACGCAACAAAAATAACTATTCTGATTACAATATATCTAATAAAGTGAAAGTAGTAGCAAAAGTGTATTTGGTAAATTTATGCAGTAATCGTCAACTAATGTGCGTGAGTATCTATTGAACGCCTCGCGATTGAGGAGTTTTGCTAAAAAAAACTTTTTAAAGCTGCTTCGTCAGAATCGCCGCTCGGTAAATATWCATTGATAATCACTTCTCGCTCGGCGAATAATTGTTAAATATTACATGCTTTCGAGGTGCTGCACAAATAAGATCTCGAAAGGTGGAGTATTATTACATGAACTCACCAAAACTGATTGGGTACTGCGCCCTTGACAACGGTGTGTCAATCGTAGAACATGCATGAACTAATCAAAACTGATTGGGTAAGATAATTGGATGACAGAATGAAAGGGAGATGTGCGGGAGTCAACTTGTCCGATCCCGCWCAAGCTGAATAAACTTGATCGTCAAAAAACAATTAATTTCCATCTTACACTGTAGTTTTGATAAATATTTGCATGCCAAGTGCTGAATGGAAACACGGATGCGTTTACAGTACAAGATAGATACAAGATATTTTATTATTGCCTACGTGTAAATGGTATTTACATTAAAGTTTATATGCAATAACATGTTTTATGATTGTATATATTATTAATGACATGTTCCAGTAATCTTTTTTCTAATTTCAAAGCATTCATAAAATAATGTATTTTGCGATTATTTTTTGTAACAATTTATTTGAAATTGGATTTATCATATAGTGAAACTCTTCGTCTTCAGTAAGAAACTCGAAATTTTTCCTTGTAATAATATTTATCTTTTCAAATATTTCTTTTCTCTTTGTGGAAAATGATATTGCTGACTTCTTTGAGTTAGGTAKGTTTGTTGGTAGGTTTTTTTCAAAGTTCTAAGTTTGTTTCTTTGAGGTGTCTTTCCTACACATATCATCATGAATTTCCCCTAACCATGTTTGTAWTTCAATGTCCTCTAATCTCTGTTTTATTTGTTTTGCTAGTATTTTCCCTTTCGTTCTGTCAAAATTTTTGTTGGCATACCCAAGCTGTAGCCTAATTTGTTTAAAATTTGTTTGACTTTCCCGCTCCAGCTACATGAATCTGGAGTGTTGTCAACAGCACAGTCTTGTAACGTTAGGTATGATAACTTTATTTTATCAGCAATAACGAAATTGCGTTTACATTGGCGTAAAGCATGATTTAAAGTCCCCCCCCCCCCCCCCATTGTTGCACAGTACATACGGATGCAAAAGAGGTCATAAGAGGTTAGTTGTTAACCTTTCAATGTAGAGTACAGAGCTTGAGATAATACGTATAACGGAAATCAAGACTTCATTATGACTAAAACCAAATCAAAAGTTAGGGAAAATGTTGTTTGTTTGTTGTTGTTTTTTTGACGAAAGGCCTTATGGGGCCTCTCGTCACCATGTCACCATGTTGAGTGACCGAGCGGTTACCATCCACTTGTATCAGGCGTTCCTTGCAAGTCCTTGATATGAGTTTAAGTTGAAAAGAGAAAATCTATAGAGAAAATCAAACGAAGTAACAACAGTAAAGAGAAAGAAGAAAAGAAAAAGAAAAAAAGAAAGAAGAAAAGAAAACAAGAAACAAACGAAAAAGAAACAATACACAAGAAAAAAAAGAAATTCCAGCAGCAGGACTCGAACTCAGAACTTTCACTTCAGAAGAAGATGTACCCCCCCCGGACATACACAAGAAATAATGAAAATAAAAAGCCAAAAAGATGGGACGATTCCCCCGAGACATTCTATGAAGCTGAGGCGGCGAATCGGCTTACGTTACGGTTAGAGATTTCGGCYCTTCCACGCTATCCCGAGTGAACATAAAACTTAGTCTTAACCAAAAGGCCAGGGAGTGAGGGGGTAGCCGCCCACTAGAGCATACCTTTAGCTACCCTCTTAGACCATCGTACTATGAAGACACTTAAGATACCTGATATCTAATTGGGGTAGTCTATTCGGTGAAGTTCTATGCTAATATATGACGTCACCAAAATCCTTAGGGAGCAGMGAGCCAATCAGAGCTCAGTTCAGAAATTAGCAAACTATAAAGGTTTGCATATCATTCTTCAGTGGGTTTATTATTTGATGGGGGTGGGGTAAGTGCCGAGTGCTGGTTTGCGGACGAATACCGATGTACTCGATGAACGGTGACGCMTTTTATGGAGCTGCTCAGCTGTCGTAYATTGTTTTCCAAATCATCACAGGAAAGGGTGTAAAGTTCTTATATCAGACGGACATCACAAGTGTTCGGATGAACACCACGAAAAAAATTTCTTGAAATCTAAATTTCATTTTTTTTTAAGTGGTGTACAGACCAGGCAGCCGCTTGGCAGGCTAGCAGATACTAGCTGTTGACAAAGATTTCGGCCGGGATTCAACGGAGCAATTTAAGACCTCTGAAACTCCAACATTAACACTCGAACGCAAAACATTTTTGTGTTCGTTACCTGGAAATCGCCGACTCTTGTGTATTTGTACATGTTTGGCCGAAGTGTCTAAATGTGCGGGAACCTGACAGTAGAGTGTCACCAAAACATGCCAAAATCACAGTAAACTGTAAATCCAGTCTAATCAAAGATACTTTACTGTATYTAGGTGTAGATAGTCTTCSTTTTGACCAAATYCAGTTGACAATTCAAAGCTTCTTCGTCGCTCGGCATAGTATACARTCGACTTGGCACTTRGGTTTTTTCACGTCTCTGGACAGGCTCCCGGACAGAAAAATTATATGTYCGGGAGTCAAAATCACAGTAAAATGTATATCCAGTCTAATCAAAGATACTTTACTGTGTTTAGGTGTAGATAGTCT